TTGCACTGCCTTTTTAAATAAATAGATATATTTCATCCAGGGTTTTTTCTTCTTCTTCTCTTTTCCTCTCCCCCCACCCCTCCCCGTAGACCCTTCCCTGAGTTGCAACCCTGGTGGATCGGTTTCTCTGCCCCTGGAGATCTAAAAGGCCTTCTCTCTCCCCCCCCCCCNGGGGGGTTGATGGTGGTGGCTCCTTGTGCGTGCCTGGGTGCACGTGGGAACGTGAGAGGTGCCGGGTAGTGTCAGGCCTCGACCAAGAGTCTGGCCAGCAGGAGGAAAGCGGGTGTGGGTTGCGAGGAGACTGCTTTGGAGGGGGTGGGGGAGAGAAGGAAGAAAGGAAAGCTGTGCCAAGGCCTGATGGTGGGTTGCCCTCCTTTCCCCCCCTTTTGTTGTTGTTTACTTCTCTGTGTGAGTCAGAGATCCTGATGCGATCACAACTGTTGAGGATTTGTCTCTCCGCCCTCCTTCTCTCTTAAAGAGTGCCACACCAAGGCTTGTGCAGAGGGGATGCACAGGGGAAGGTGTGAGGTCGCTGGACCTAGGAACAGGCAGGCACGGGTTCAAGTCTCCACGCAGCTGGGAAGCTTTTGGTGTGACCTCGGGTCAGTCGCTCCTGATTTACAGGTGGCTGGGAACAGAAGGATGAATACACAGGCACTCCTGTGCTTGCTGGAAAAGATTCAGTTGTGGTGGTTGTGTGTGCTTGGAGTTGCTTCCAATTTATAGTGGTCCAGGCAGAAATGTACTGTATGCTGCTGTGTACAGTATAAATCGGTGCCCTTACTTTCTCATTGATGTCCCCACAGCCTCTCATTGTCAACCATCTTCTGCTCATAAATATTGTCCTCTCACCCTCCACTCCGATGTCTAGGCTGGATTGGAAGGTTTCTCATGCATGTTCATTGATAAAGAAAAATTCTCATAGATTGATGCCTTTTTCCTCATGCTGATAACTTTTTGGACAAGGAGGAATATATTCCCCCCCACCACTATTTGAGCGTTCATCATATTAGTGGTTTTGTTTTTATTCTTTGTTGCTATGCCCCATGGAGTTGTGGTGCTCCTTAAAACTCTTTGTTTTGGCCAGTGGGTTTCAGTTTTGCAAAGAATGGTCCTTTGCATAGGATTATGGTACTTTATATAATATATGGTGTAATTCCTTTAGTGTTTGGTAAGTTACTTACACACTCTTGTGCAGAAGCTTCATCCAGGCTCAAAGATCCAAGCAGTAGAAATAAGTAATTTGTGTACCTGGCTATGGAAACAGCTTATGGTAAAGATGTGTAGGTTCTACAGTATAGCTATTATATTCACAGAATGTGGCGTGAGTCTGGTATAAAGGAGAGTAACACAACAAGTAAATACTGTAGGTAGTAACTATGCTGTGTTATGATTTTGTTTCTAATTTATTAAATTGTAGGGCAGGTATCAGCCCAGCTCAAGAGAAGCAGACAGAACGGGAGGTCTGATTCTGTGCCGTAGTCAGGTTCCTGGGCCCTGCTTTACCTGTCTACCACAGTCTTGCTATCTTGGTGACTGGTTGGCCTTCTCTGATGTAAGATGTAGTTGTGCTTCATTGTGCCCACTGTAGGATTAATGAAGCTCATTAATAAAGATAGTGCTGTAGTGGTTTACTTCTGCTTTAGTTAGAAGTGCAATTGGGGAACATATGTCTCCCAATAAGTTCATTTTAGCTCTCTGGCAGTCTTTAAATATATGTATTATTAAGGCAAACTTGTAGAATTTTAATCCTCTGGCATTAAAATAATGTTTAATGTTTTTTATTATCCTGGAATAAACAGCACGGAGGTGATGTCCCTAAGTATCTTCCTGATGCACTGTTGCTTGCAGCTCTTCCAGTTCAGTTGTTGCACAAGATCTGTGTATTTCTCCTCAAAATGTTGTTTCTGTTGCAAGGAAACTGCGTTTTCTTTACCCCTCAAGTAAAGAACTTGTTGCTAGGTAAAAGCATTACTTTTCCATTCACCTCAGTGGAATTTTAAGATAGTATGGAATATGGTTGTGCAGTGTGGTGGACATTCCTTGGATGCTGATTGCAAAAATTCTAGCAATGAGTATGTCTCTTTGTACTCATGTGCTGTTTTCTGAACATCTTTAAAATTATTTTAATTGTTTTCAATATTGAAGAGAGACACTTTTTTCCTATTGTATCTGAAAAATAAATTGTTGTATTGCCTTTTTAAGGTATACTGTAAATATCAGCAAATCCTCTTTCCTCTTCTAGCAGCAGTGCCCTCTATTTTGCTTTTTTGCTTATTAATTTTTGTTCTTTGTTCTGTGTAGCTCTTCTTCAGTAAATTGTATTTCTGATTTTAAAGCAAATGGAAGGAGACATGAGTAGAATTTTTCATTTCTGTGCGGATGGGATATTTCTCTTTTAGGATGTATCGGGTGTTGTACAGGTCGGTTCAGAAACATCTTAACAGAATCTGAGGAGTTGTAAGGAAGTAAATGCACACCTTTGGTAGCAACTCAACATTTCTGATTCTGTACATTCTGTATTTTGAAAGATTTCTGTTATGTACAGTAGAATCTTGCAAGCAACTTCATTGCCATTGAGACTTCCCTGTTTGGTAGTCTGTCATCAGGACCTGGGATTGGAAAAGATGCAGAAAACAGCAATAAGAGTGGCAGAATATACCAGATGGGTGGGATATAAATCAAACAAACAAACCAATAAATAAATAAATAACAATTGTTTAAGGCTTGGTGCAGCCTACCTTCTGTGGAGAAACTAAAAAGTTAAGAGTTTCTTAGTTGAGGTTTATGCAATTATGCAGGATAGAGGGAGGCATAAATGTATCATTATGGAGGAAGAATAGCCATCTAGCACCATGCTGTCTGTAGCAAACAAAACCGGAAACAACAATGGGTTTTGTGGCACCTTGTAGATCGTCATGTCTCACTACCATAAGCTTTTGTGGGCTACAGTTCAGTTCCTCAGGTGTATCTGAAACTTGTATGTACTGCCCCTTAAGTTAGGATAGTTTTCTCCCTCTTGTTCTTCTGTCTGGCAAGGCCTTCCTTTTCAGGCAGGTGTTTAAGCAATAATTTTTATTTATTTTTATTTATTGTATTTATACCCTGCCTATCTAGTCATTTCGACCACTCTAGGTGGCTTAATAAGTAGGAGTCTCAGAAATATTCTATTTATTAAACTCTGAGATTTTAAGGTGTTTTAAAAACTGTTTTTAATCTTGGTTTTAATATTGATAGACATAGTTTCTATTGTAGTTTCAAACTGTGGATCATGGTGTAGTTTTAACTGGGAGAAAAGTGCCATATAAATAACGTAATAAAGATCTCAACATCAGTAGTTGACATCAAGGGATATCAAATAGTATTTGCTTCCTGGTGGAGAAGACAGTAGTTTTTTTTTAAAATGAAATTTCTTTGAATTTTACTGGGCACATGAGGGTGCTCAAACAACAGGTTTGTTTGCACACAACCAAAGCAGACGTTTGGACAGGTTGTCCACTAGGAACATTGGTCAGATTGAAGGTGGACGTTCCTCCTGTTTAAAATGTATCTGAATA